ATGATCGCAGCAGCCAAAGTGCCGGGCAGCAAAACGATCAGAAAGATAGTTCGCTGCTATAGAGATGAACACAACCGCGAAAACATCCACCCCCAAAAGGATGGTGAAGGCAAAGCATAGGATGCTTTGGGTCGGGGCCCCAGCCTTCAAAAGACCTAAGAAGAATTCCAGGCTGGCGCAGATAAGAGCGGCGCAGACTAGTAGATGGTATTGCATGGGAACACGCGCGGCCAGTCGAGGTTCCAGGTCCTTCCGCAGGTCCTGACGCACGAACTCCGTAAAGGCTTCCTGCGAGGGAATTCCCGATTCTTGCATCACATCCTGTACGCCCCTCAGTGTCAAAACCTTGGAACACAAAATTACTCAGACCAAATACTTTGAACAACTTCACCTTGGACCCGTACCACTTCGAGATTGCTGCGTGAATGAACTTTCCTTGGTGCAGAAGCACGTCAAACCCTGAAATGTTCATCAAGCTTCCAATCATTTGTAGGACACAAGGCATGAGCACGACAAAAGCGCTAGCTGAGCCTCGTCTTCCACTTACGAATCCATGTCTCTAGCCATCGCCAAGTCTCGATCAAACTCCTCCCTGCATGAGACCTTGTTTAGATCGAACTGCTGCAAGTCCCGTCTCCTGGGCATGCTGAGTTCCGACACACCGTGTCACCCTGACTTCGCAGACACGCTTTGGGCTTCTGGATCGACAAACCGATGAAAAAGCTCGACACCTGAACTGCACCCAGGAGCAGCTGGTGCTTCTCCCGGTAGTTACTCCGCAGAAAAGCTATTGCAATCATCCCGAGTAGGACGAGGACGGCATAGGCAATATAGAGAACGAACTGAAATCCAGCGCCCGACCTCCCAGACAGGTTCAGCATTTCGGAGCTTCTGCCTTGAATATAGACCCTAATGCCTAAACACTAAATCAATCTACTCGCTCGTTCTTGAGAGCTTCCGTTCAAGTGTGACGGCCACCGACATCAGCGGCCTAAACAACCCCTGAACCCTGCAACCCTGAGCCCCAGAACCATGGAATCCTCAGACCCAAATATACATCCCGGCACATCCGCTTTGATCCCTGTAACCTTTCTGTATATCCTAAAGCCCTAGCAGCTGGGAGTTACGGTCAATCTTACACACCCTAGAGAAAACCCTAAGACGTTCAGGGTTTAGGGAATAGGGGCTTTCGGGTTTCAAGGTTTAGGGTTGACCTGAACTTGTGCTGTGGTGGTCTCCCAAACTTGCCCCGAAACCCTGAAACCCAATCTTCCACCTCGCCAGCACCCAAACGATGCCCAGGCCCAAGGTTGTGACCAAACTCACCAAAGCAATCCTCTCCTGGGGCTAAGGGTTTAGGGTTTAGGGTTTAGGGTTTAAGGTTTAGGGTTTAGGGTTTAGGGTTTAGGGTTTAGGGTTTAGGGTTTAGGGTTTATCCCATAATCCGCCGACCCTGGCGTCGTGTTGGATGGGTTCGGAAGTGTAAACCTCCCCTTTTTCCCTTGTCCCACACCAAAATCCCGCGTGTTGGCGCCCTGAGAAAAAGGGGTGCTCCGCTGCTTCTAAACCCTTGGGGCCAATTGAGCCGTCGACCTCCCACACAGGAATGCCCCTCCCCCTTCCCCTCCCCCTGAAGTGTAACCTGGGCATGTATCCCCTCGC